TAGATGAGTTAATACTTATTTAACAAATTGACTTTAAAAACCTTTTTTTCGTTTTAAAAATACCAACAACCCGAAATTTCATAAAAAATGTGCAAACTTTCCTTTCATTTGTTTTATTGTACATTACGACGGTATGTCTTAGTGTGTTTAATGATGTAGTGAAAAAATAGCCTAATTGCGAACATAAGTACATACTTGCATTGTGATAGAGAAAATTTATTTCTGGAAGTTAGAAAAAGGTAAGAGGGCCGCGAAAATTGCATTGCTTAGGGGCCTCGATATGCGGTCAATTCGGTCCTGGTCGTGACAAGGAAGTACAAAGGAAGGAAGATATTTATTATCAATAAAATATGTATAGTGCACAAGCTTATTACGTTTAGAACATCAGACACGATGCATTTAGTGGTGAATTCTTTGAAATTCAGGCATGCACCTCGGGTGGCCGTAAAAGAAAAAAAAAACACGCCATCGTTCACAACTGCTCATTTGAATTACATGAGTGGCAGTCAGGGCCGTTGAGAGAAAGCTCGGGCCCGGGACTAAAAAATTACGGGCCCCTATTTAAAAATTGTATTAATTTAAAAGTATATGGCCCAAATCGCCGAAAACGAAACCGAGGGGAAAAATTTTTTTTCTCAGGTTTTGCGGATTTTTGATTATATCTGGGTCATACAAATTCTGAGGTATCAGACAATATAATTATTAACACGAAAACTCACTTTAAATTAATGATTGGACGACCAATGTGCAGAAAGCCTTATGCTTTCAGATGCAAGAAGAAAAACTATCGGAAAGTTGTATTCTAGCGAAATTCAGCGGTCTTTTAAAAGAACTGTGAGCCAAAACGTATGGGTCATATGATAATTTTCTTTAATTTATGGATTCAAAAACAATGAGCACGAATCGGAATATATTTTCGTAAAATTTATAATAAAAGCCTATAGCGAAGGGGCAATTACATTGTAAAAAAAAATTTATGGTTCTGATATTTTGGGCCCCTCTCTCTCGACAGGCCTGGTGGCAGTAACATGTTACCTATTTCTTTCGTTTCCTCTGATGGCTTTCACGACTTCATGGAGTTAGTATAATAAATAATACGCGTTTTTTGAAAGATCTGGATTGAATTTAAAAATTTAATTATTCCTCACGTACGGTAAAATATGTACATTTAATGTAAATTTATAACCTGTTCATTTACGTTGTTGCTTAGTAATTACAATATTTTCTAAAAATAAAATTTTATTCATACATTGCAATTTATTTGAATGTGTGCAACATTCGAATAATCGCGCACCAGTTATTATTTGAATAATTAACAGCGAGCACGGTGTAAATAACATGTGCTAACAAATAATTATTTCAGTTTTCTGGCAAACGGGTAATTTTGAGGTGTATCACCTTTAAAGTGAATGTGCGATATGTGCGTGTGCCGAGTATAGAAAGTTCACTTACGTACGAGCTTTGATTTCTTGGCTTGTTTCTTTATAGTAATAAAATTTAATATCCTTCGGCTATTTGCTATCATTAACTTATTTTATTGACTAATACAACACACCAGATGCTACGTATGCATGGTGTACGCACATATATGTGTTCCACTAATTGTCAAATCGACTTAGTCAATTAGTCGTTTTCGTTTTGTACATGAAAAATCAATGTACATTGACATCAATGGCATTTTATGACCCTTTAAGTATACATAGATATTAAAAAATATTTTATCAAAAGGTACCGCTTATATTTGTCATTAATAGTGTGGAATATTTAAAAATAATATAATTTCTGCACAAGTAGATAGAACCGGTTTTAAATCACTCATATTGATTAAGAGGGAGTCAGAATGGTTAATTATTATATGGATACTGATATCGTACTACGTTGTAAAATCTTAATAGATAAGCAAAAACCAATGATAAAAATGAAATGGGCATAGGTTTCTTTCCTTCCACGAAAACCGTCACATTGCGTGTAGAAAGAAGTACCAGGCATCAGACTAACTAAATGCCATGGTTGTAGTGCCGGAGAAGCTATTTTGCGTTTTAATGAGTTTAGTTGATCGTCTCCTAACACATCTCTTCAATAAAACTTTATTATAGCTAAGGCGTAGAGACTAGTGTTGCCAGATTTTTTTTTCAGGCATACGGGACAAACGCATAATTTGTCCCAAAAATGCGGGATTTACAAAAATTTAATGGGACAAATGAGAAATAAAGGATTTTCTTTAAAAGCCCAACTGCGGACCATATTTGTATTACAAGTACACGTAAATAAAAGTTTCAAAGCTTGCAGAAAGTTCACAAAAACTAATTAGAGTTAAAAAAATTTTCATCGAAATTTCGATATTTTTAATTAGATTTCCTAGTCGAGTATGCAGCTCATTTTAGTATAATAAAGTGTAAAGTGCCAGTTTCAAGTCGCTAAAAATTACCATTGATTTTTTTAGTTTGTTTTGTGGAGGGTGTTGCGCATTTTCTTCCATATAAAAGTCAGTAAAAAATCAACGGTAATTTTTAGCAATATTTTTCTTACAAAGTTGCATGCAATAATGCTTGTTAATGACCTAATCACAATAGCCGCGTTAAAGCATGATCAGTTTGAAATGAATAATGAAATGTTCGAAAATTCGGGAAAAATCTTGTCCGGGCGGAGCATTTCAAATGTAATGCAAAATACGGGACGTTCCGCCAAATATGGGACATTGGGCAACGATAGAAGAGACACAAACGGGTGTTTCAAACGGGGGTTTGGTTAAATTGAGGGCAAGCCAACATTGTAGAGGAACTTAAGCGGCAAGAAGAGAATCGTCTATCAGGCCCACCGTCCTAAGGACCACCCCTATTAATTCCGTATGTGAAAAGTTGTTATGCAAGTCCAATAATTGAACTGTACATATTCGACCCATTGGAGGTTATATTACCAACAGCAACCCAAATGTCCATAAATATACACATAACAAATTTATTAGGCCTTACAGTACCCGGTATTGGCACATCATATAAGCTGTTGGAAAAATAGTAAACGTGACATAATTTCGCTAAAACTTTAAACAAGTAAGAGCAGCGCGTCTTCGGCTATGCCTTCGGCTATGCCGAAGGCTTCATACCTTTCATGAGCATATGAAAATTTTACTTTAACACTGAGGGAAAACGTATAACGAAAATTCTCATAACTGAAAAATCAGTTGTATGGAGGTTGGCAGGTTAGGGTGACCCCATCTTTGTTATTTTCACTGTAAGTATTCTGTTAATAATGAGTGAAACCAGTGCGAATTTTCATGTTCCTAGCTACTTAAATGGATGAGTTATAACGTAAAATCTTACATTTGAACAATCAGTTGTATGGGAACTATAGGTTATAGTGACCCGATCTTTGTAATTTTCACTCTAAGCTTTCTGTTGATAATGGGTGGAAATACTGCAAAATTTCATATTCCTAGCTGTATAAATGGAGAAGTTATAACGAAAAATCTCATATCTGAACAATCAGTTGTACGGGAGATATATGTTATAGTGGTGCGATTCTTCCGGATCCGACAAATGATTAAAACATTATAAAAATACACCCACCTACCAATTTTCATCCGGATATCTCGAAAACTGAGAGACTAGATTGTATACAAACTAAAGGCCTGCAAATGTTGAACTATAAAACATAGCGACATGTGTCACATCATGCAAGTGCCAGTTCATATTATGTCGCTCATACATGTTTCACAATACGATTTGAAGACACTGTCGAATAATTGAAATCAAATCTATGCATGTCAACTTAAGCAACACATGCGACATAGTCAACATTATTAGTTACATTTTATATACGGGAGAAGATTTTGTAAATTGTTAAGCACCTATTATAGTAAAATCCATTAAAGAATTGTCTAATTAAACACCTGTATATATTTTCATCCAAGGCAGGATCAAACAGTATTAAAAATATGCTACAGAAGCACAACAGCGAACAACAGCTTAGCTAAGTAGCGGCGACATGCTAAAACAGTATGTTTGAGATCGAATGACATGGCACAACACCTTGTTTGAGTTGACATGACATAGCAATGCACGAAATTTTTAAAAAAGAATTTTTACAGAAAATGTTGACTTTTGCAGTTCTTTAATACAAACAGACGGACAGACAGACAGACGGACAGACGAACATGGCTAAATCGACTTTTTCATTGACATTTCATGCTCATGAAAGGTATAAAAATAGTCGGTAACCTAACACTTGTTTCTTTGCACATATAAATATTTTCTACGAAAATTTCAGCATAATGGTACAATTAAATTATCTTGTTATAAACTAATGCATATTCATAAAAAATGTTGTAGGGTAAAAATCTCGAGAAACGTATCCTACAAATGTGTGATGCTACTACAAGGGTGCTGTTTCAAAGCTAATACATCTAGGATCATTTAAACTGGTTTTAAGATCTTTTAGCTTTTGTGGAAAAAATTCGCAAAATTATTATTTATGTCCGGTATTCGGCTTCCATAAATATGGTCACCGTGCCCATAATCTACATAGTATATAAACAATATAGGAATCAACAGCGAACAGCATTCCGAATATACATACATACTTACATATATATAGTTATTTCTAAAATGACGATCGTCGTCTTTAAAAAGCTTTATGTATTATTGCTTTTAGATAGCCTTGAACAGTAGCTGTGGTTGCGCTTTGCATGGCTTAAATAAATACATAGTTCATCATACGCACTGGTTACCAGCTAAAATACAAACGTACATACATATGTAGATTGGGCCTCATGCATAAAAAGTGAGTTTCAGCTCCGACTCGATTTTCAGTGAAAATTCTTGACTGTGCTTCAGTACAAAAATTGAGTGTGAGCTTAAGCTAATTTTTTATGAATGAAGCCCATTGCAACAATAGATACAAACATTTAGGTTAAGAGAATGCATACATTCTGCGAAATCAGCGCATACTCTTCAGCGTACTCTTCAAAAAGTTCGCCAATGCCTATCCCTCAATCTAGCCATATGGGTTCTTTATTATTTAAATGCTATCTGAATTTGTACGTGAACTGATATACATACATATGTACATGCTACATACATACATTCCCTACCTATCCAAAACTTCTCCAAACAGATCACAATCTAACGGAAATGGTCAGTCACAAACAAAGGAGACAAATGGACGTAGCGCAGAGAAGCACAGTGAAGACTATGATCCACATTTACATCGAGTTGTGAAAAATCCCACCACGTATGTAAAATGAAACAACGTGATATTTGCATATGTAGATAATACTAAGCAATATTGAATTACAGAAATTTGCAAAGTTTTGCACACTTTTTGAAGGCCTCAGTGGGGTCGGGAGTTTTGGCTATGCCGAGCGCATTCGCAAATGCGGGTTACATCAATGGACCCATACTTACGATAATTATTGGTGGACTGGCGCTTCACTGTTTGCACATTCTGGTGAGCTTATGCGTTAAACTAAGCCTTAAATTATCATCTTAGTATAATTTGCCTTTGGCCTTGTCTGAATATACATACATACCTACATGCATACATACAGTAAAAATAAGCAATTCTTTTAACGAAGGCATGAACTTCATTACTTCGCAGATAAACTCAATGTACGAGCTAAGTAAACGTAAGCGTGTACCTTATTTGACATTTTCTGAAGCGATGACAGTTGGTTTGCAAGATGGACCGCCTGCTTTCAAATTTGTTCTACCCATAGCAACGTAAGTACCTACACACATGTGGTTACATACATACATATTTACCATTTAGCTGCATTGCATTTGTTCTTCTTTACTTTTCAATTGCAGTCCTTGTGTTGACGGATTTCTAGCCTTTTATCACTTTGGTATTTGTTGTGTGTATGTGGTGTTCATTGCGGAGAGCATCAAGCAGATCGTTGATGAATACCTGGTGGTCTTAGATATCAGGCTGCATATGTGTTTCCTTTTAATTCCACTCTTTATGTTGTACAGCATACGAAATCTTAAGTTACTGGCTCCTGTCTCATCTGCTGCTAACATATTGCTTATTGGTGGTAAGCAAGGCAGTTTTTAGATTTTACACCTACATATATATGTATGTACCAAATTTAATTTTCAGGCTTCGGCATTGTGTTATATTACATTTTCGAGAGTTTGCCACCGATTTCGACGCGTGTACCCTTTCAGGATGTCTCTAGAGTACCAATTTATTTTGGTACAGTACTGTTTGCTCTGGAAGCTGTCGGTGTAGTAAGTCATTTCGATTCATTAAATATATCATGCTGATGCTAATTATATAATATCTGTATGTATGTATTTTTGCTTAGATCCTTGCCGTGGAGGAGAATATGGAAAATCCGAAATCATTTGTAAAGCCTTGCGGCATATTGAATATTGGCATGTCAATTGTTTTGTGCTTGTACATACTACTCGGTTTCTTTGGTTATTGGAAGTATGGCGATGAAGCTTTAGGCAGTGTAACCTTAAATATACCTCAGCATGAAGTGTAAGTTTAATTTAAGTATTTATTACTTATACATAAATTAATTTGAGATTTTTTCTGATAACTATTAACTATTGGTTTCGATGAGCGGTGCAAATAAGAGAACCTTTCGAAAGTCAAAGATACTTATAATGATGTGAACGCTTACCACGTGTACTTGTACACTCCGCTTCACTAGAATAGGTACAAATTTTTTCTCAAGATATGAGCTTATATCTGGACTTATGGGTATCGGTTTAATCTCGTTTTGAAGAATGATTAATTTCAAAGCAAAGTGGTTAAAATGAAGAAAACACCTTTGGATTACCTTGGATTTTATTTTCGTTCACTTGAATAGGCACAGTGGCTTTAGCGCAAGGAAAGGACTACATTGAACCAACAAAAGCATACCATTCATTTTAATTCTACTATGCAAGACTTTTATTACAGAAAAGGCCCTTACAAGACAGTTCTAGAGACGCCGGAAAGAACAACTGCAACAATTCCAACGTTTTGCATTAAGTTAAGGTCCTGTGAAGAGTATTTAAGCATTGATCGAATTATTGCTTTATTGTACCATGTTGTAAACAGTAAAAGAATACATTTCTAGTCATTTATGCTTAGGTCCTCATTGCCCTATTGGTCCTATGCCCCCGAGATATAAACATATGCAAACATATCCATGTCCAAGTTGATATCAGAGTAGTCTGCTTAGTCTCTAAAGCTCTTTGTTTTCCTTTGATTTTCGTTTAACATAAGCACTGATTAACGGTAACGATTTCCCAATATATTATTGATATACTAATACCGCTGGAAAATACTATCGCCTCCTGCAGTTTTGCATGGTCGAGGAACTATGCCGCCGACGGAAACTTGTCCTGTTCCTCTCAGGTCGAGGAACCTATCTTACAAAGTCGGACTGTAGTTGTTTGTGAAGAAGCCACCTTGACTCCCGAGGAGACCTGTCTAATTATAGCGCCATTTTTATTCGTCCGAAGAGGGATGTGCTTTCTAACTACCGACCGAGCCCCTGTTGAGCAAGAGATATGCGTCATTCCAGCCAGACTATATTGATAAATACATAGCCATATTTGTTTCGTGAGAATCCCATATTTTGGCATGGCTGTCAAAAGCGGCTTTAAAAAGTAGTGTGTTTCGATTTGATTAAAAAAGTATTTTTGAGGATTTGACGCACTGTAAAGCTCTGTAAGCACTCAAGTAGTATTGTCAATTTTTCTTAAGGCCCAGAGACAGAATTTAGAGGAGATTGACTATAAGTGGGGCTTTCCTGTAAACATATTTTATGAATATTAGCAGTTTGTTGAGGGAAAATGCATCTGACCCAAAAATGTACCATCTAAGTCTGGCGAAGGCCTAACAGCGGCCTTCTGTACTATCTCCAACCTCCAAACAAGATATAAACAGTGGATTGTCGATAATCTCTATGCTGACCAATGTCGTAGATCATGCCTTATTTGTCTGAAAAGGAATTTCGCCGCAGGGGTCCCTACCACACCAACGGATCTCATGAGTTTTATATATGTGGACTTTGATGTACCCGATCGTTCCCTCTATGCTTAGCCATAAAAATGTCTCCAATCCAATTGGACGCTCCAGAGAAGCGCAGTTCGCCAATTCATCAGGCAATTCGTACACTGTAGTCTCCTGGTATCCACACAAGTTCAAGCTCATTCCAACTTGTAACGAAGTTGAGCCTCAACTTACATTCCTGGACTATTTTTGAATAGGTGCAAGCGGTTTCCAAGGCCTTTATAGCAGCTTGACTGTCACTGCAGCTCCGGATTTTATGTCCGCGCCACCATTCGTCAATTATCCAGTCTGCTACTTTCCTTATTGCAAGGACTTCCGGTTGAAAGACCGTAGCCATTGCACCCAAAGCAGTAAAGCATCATTAAGTTATCGTCCAGATGCCATCCAGCTCCAAGACTCTCTATTGGCCCATCCAGGAAATCTAACGACGTATTTTTTTCCAAAGGAGACTCCAGGTATCAGTTTGTCATTAGGTGCCAAAAATAAAGGGTATTGCTCTGACAACCTTGTAAACAACATTCTTTGCTCGGAACTTGGATTATCGTGCCAAAATCCAAAAGAGTGCGGCCGACACATGGGTTTCATTACCTCCTCTTGGATCGCTAAATCCATAGGCGGCAAATGCAATAAAGCATTAAGAACTAGTCCTGACGGTGTACTCATGGCGTCCGCAGTGCCTATACACACGCTTCTTTGTAGCCTTAAGCGTGGTTTTGACCATGGTTTTGCGCCACGATACTACAGCAGAGTACGTAGAGCTTAGTCTGACTAAATCTATGTATATGCAGAATACCATAGCCGGTCTCAGACCCCAGGTCTTACTAAAGGTTCTCCGACACTGTCCCAAAACTTTCAGCGCTAGATTTACCTTCAGATAGACGTGAGTTTTTCATGTCAGCTTCTAATCTGGATTTACCGCTAGATATTTCACATCCACAGAAAGATTTAGGTTTACGCCTTTAAGTACTCGAAGGTGGAGATGTTTTGCTGGGATGACTATAGGACTTAAATATGAAATATTTAGAAGGCTTTATCCTGATAATTAGCGCAGGGGTTTATTCCTTATTGGAGATTGTCCAAAGTACACTGAAGCTTCAATCTTCCGCTACTCGTCATATTTAAAAACCCGTCAGACCCGAGAAACTTATTGTTTTCAATCCGAAGTATTGCTGCTTTCTCCTCGGCTTGGTCGAGTGGAGGAAGGGACGCATCGCCTATACAGATCGGCATGCGATTTTCTTTATCAAAATCAAGACCGCTGTCGCTATTGCCAAAGCGCTTTCCTTGCTTTCCATATTCGTCTTTTAAGAAACCAGATCCTATTTTGTAATCATTAGGCTGATACCGTTTTCTGCCCCTCCCTTCTTCCTCTTGAAAAAAAAAACGTCTCTCTATCCACTTCTTCTCGCAGTATCGCTCATTTGGACCATTATATTTGATTTTATTCTCAAAATAATTAAATATGCATATAAATATATTGTTATAGAGTTAATTTGTATATTTCGCATTTTTTTTTACCAGATTAGCTCAAGTAGCGAAAATTATTTTCGCCATTACCACCTGGATGACTTATGCGTTGCAGGGCTATGTCACCACTGACATCATTTGGAATAAATATCTTTCGAAGCGTACAAAGGATACCTCCAAGCATGTGCTATATGAGCTTTTGCTAAGAGCTTGCATTGTGATCTTAACATGTAATGTTTCAATTACATATATTGTATTGCCTTAGGGTACGTTCACACAGAAAGCGGAGTCGAACCGAGCTAAGCCGTTCCGAGCTGAGTGAAGCTTTCAAATTGCTGTAGATATATGAAAGTGTTTATACAGAAAGCTTTTTCAGAAGCCTTTTGGAGCTGAAAGCAAGCAGTTTTTGTTTTGAATTTTCTACTAAATTTTTCAGCTTCACGACGGTGCTACAAACAAGATATCAAAATATTCAAACAGAAACGAATTTTACAACGAATCTTTTAACTAAAATTGCGCAAATATTTTTGCCGCTTTTCTCTGACGGTAATTTTTGTGGTATCTTGTAGCCGATTCCACCAGAAAAGATCCGCTTCGCTTCGTTCAGTGTGAACACCATCAGCTTCGCTCTGCGCCGCTCGGCTTTCTGTGTGAACGCACCCTTAGAGTATTTGTTATTTCAAGCACTTAACTACAAACATAGCGCATTTGTATATCGTTTACGTCAATATCTCCTATCACCACACAATTAATTTTTAATGTGGTTATTAACATAACTATTACCTTTTTCAGTTTGTTTCGCTGTGGTCATACCTGATTTATCGCTATTCTTATCGCTGGTTGGGTCGTTTTGCTTATCTATACTCGGGCTGATTTTTCCTGCATTACTACAAATCTGCGTACAATATTACAGTGGTTATGGCCGATGGAAACTTAAACTAATAAAAAACGTATTACTGGTGGCGTTCGGAATATTCGGCGGAGTTGTCGGCACTTATGTTAGCATACAACAAATTATTGACAACTACAAATGAGGAATCGCATAAAAACAAAAACAATAAGTTATGTGCAGATGAGCATAGGAATGTAGTTTAGCTAACTTATAGGTAGATATAAAAATATAATAAACTAAACGATAATTTTAAAACCTTGTGTTAGATAAGGGAGGTTCCATGGGAAACTGAACCTCAGAGCACACAATTTTTTCTTTATAAAAATAACAAATGTGTGGATAAGACATGAACACAAATCTTGAATCAACCACAAAAATAACAAATTAAAGCTTTAAATGCATTTTTATTGCCTTTTTTTGCCTTTTTAAATCAAGTTATAAGTAAATTTTTGAGTGAGTTTCAAATAGGTAGTATGTACTGTCAAATAATTTGCGATTCTTAATTGAAGTGTTTGGTAAGAAAAATATTTAGTAGAACTCATAAGCGTTTAATAAAATTATATTATATATTATTGAAGTCGGTTTTGTTTTTTATACCATTAATTGTGATATATATAATATAAAAAACTAACTCGATGGCTTGGTAACGAAAACGGAGAAAGTAGTGAAAGATGTCGCTATCAGTGTTGGCAGAAAATGTTGAGGCTTATAGCTAAATTTCTCGAAAAAATAACTAAACAAAATAGCTAAAAATATTATTAGAAGGCGTTTTCAATAGCCATTCGTCCTCGTAAACCAAATGTTTTTTTTTAATCCACATAATTTTCTCTTTCATTTAGTATCCATATTGTTATTATACATTGCACTGAATTTTTTAAATAATTTTTGGAAGTAATCATATCCTTGAGATTACAAGGTCCGTTAAATAAACTGACGCAAGAGAGAAAAACTACAAACGCAATTTTACTTTAGTTTCGCAAGCATATTGATTGCTTCGTGCTTTTCAAAATTTCTTTTTTAAAGCACAGCTTACTTACCTACATAATTCATATGTATAAAAGAGTTTTTCCTTAAAGCGTTCAATTTTGTGTGAAAATTTGCAGAAAATGAAGCTCCTTCAACTACTCGTAATAACAAATTTCCATCACTTTCAGTCTTTTTCTATGCCAAGTTTCATTGCAACTGTTCTGTTCTATCTAAGATAAATGGGGTTTTCGCAAGGCCAATCGATTCGATTTTCAATATTTGAAGTGGTTACGGCATTTACAGTAAAGCGTATTCATGAAACAAATCGGAAATGTACCAACTTACAACTGCAATGCAACAGCGCTGCAATTGAGTCCCACATTGACGTGTATGTATGTATGTAACAAGTTAAGTACGTATGTATGAAAGCGAGTGCAAAAATCTCCCAATCCTCCCAATCATGTATGTATAGACATGTCTATGTATGTAAATATATATGTATGTATGTAGGAATATATAGCCCAGAGATTGAGCCAACATTATCCGCAAGTTCAATCGCCGAAGTGCACTTGTTCGGTGATAGATAACCGGCCAGCTTGCGATGACAATTCCATTACCCCCGCTGGCTACTTGCTTATTGTTTCTGTTTGCAGTTTATTTCCTTATTTTTCCGTTTCCCATTTGACCAATTGATGGAAATTTAACAAAGGAAAATCGAAAACGGTAAATTCAACAAATATGTATACATATATGTATGTAGTTTGGTAACTTCATCATACATATGTATGTGCGTGTGTATGTGGAAATATGCGTATAATTAGCTATATCAAAGGGAAACTCTGATCTGCTAGAGAGCGTTTTCCCTTTGTCACTTTTGTTTGAACTACTCTTTTAGTTTGTGGGCAATATTTTTCCTTTGATTTTAGAATTTCTGGCTTTTGGAATGACAAGACAGTTAATGAAACATTTTTGCATTACACGAGTATGTTTGTTTTGGTGGACGATAGTTTTACTTTTAATGCGATCTTGCTCAGTTCCTATGTAGAGCCAAGACTTTGCTGAACGATATTAAAAGCGATCTGTAAACTAAGTTTGGGATGCTCGTATATTTTTCATCTAAGTACCAGTACGTCGAGGGCTTATATTCAATACCCTTTATCAGCAATTTTCCCAGCAAGTTGCGTTCTAAATAAGCACCAATCTGGACATTAACTGTCATCACCGATGTTTATTTTAACTTTGCAATTCAATAGTAAATTCTTCTTACAAGCGATAAGCAAGGACAGCATTTACGTTATAGATGCCAATTAAGTTTTAGATGGATTTTTATATCAGAATGTATTTTTTTTGGGACCATTTGCAGAAATGTACTATGTAGTGGGTTTTGAACATAAGCCATGCCTAGTTTTGGAATTCACCTGCTCTAAATATATTAAGCTCTGTTTAACCTGGAAGAACATTTCGAGGCCAAAGCTTAAGACACGGCAAGTCATTCTCGTCCGTCAAGCTCTGCCACCACTCACTGGGAGCTCTTCTGGCTATGCTTCTGAAGCATTTGTACGTCCACACCCTCTATATATAAGGTAGGCTCTCACATTCGCTTGGTATTTTCGAATGCCGCCTAAATGTTGATTCAGATGCTGAGAGGTCTACTTCTTATATAGTAAATCATTCAATATATGTACTGTTCTGTGTTTTCAGATATATCACGAAAAATGTGATTAAATTTGAGCTTTTCGAGCTTTTACTCAAGCCCTAAGAAAGAATCAGAATTACAAACCAGGGGCCTCCTGAATGAACAGATATAAACCTGAATAAATATCTGATCATTTTTGTCTTCTCATATGACACAGCAACGTGGAAGATGTCTGATGAAGATGAGGTGTATTCGAGGGCATTAGAGAGAACAAATCTATGAAAGGCCAAGCTCAGATGGATGCCTCTGCACTTGGTTGGTATAGCTGCAATGAGGAATAGAAATACCGCCCCTCTTACCCAGCTGTCTAGCGGCACTCATTTATCTCTTGGAAAAATGTGTCTGCCATTTCGGAGATCAGAAATTTTCGATAAATCTCCGTGTGCCATAAAGTCAAGAGCGTGAGAGAGACCCCATCTATTGCTATTAGCTCCCCTGTATCAATATAAGGCAAGTGATGGCCTGCTCCTCCCTCTTAGGTTTTCACAAGTATGAGATCCTATCGGATCTAAAGTTAGATTTTTAAAATTCAAATTCAATGGCGCCTCCATATTGAATCTAACATTTATCACGGAAAAGTTAAAATCGAGCGTACTTGCATACATGGCGTATGAGTAACTTTGGCATCTCATCTGAGTAACTCATACGCCATGTGCGTACCTTTGATTTTAACTTTTCTGTTATAAATGGTATATCGATATGATCCGTTATTTGGAATTTTGATCAAATATCGATCCGCCATTTTGAATTTCTAAATTCTGATTTCAGATTCGTAGTCAGCGATCTCAAAAACCCCGATTGAGAAGTTTTAAGCGAATCCAGTCGATTAAAATTTTTTTGGACGCCATATTGGGTCCACCATTTTGCATTTTTCCAACCAGACTCTAAATTCAAAATTAGCAACCATAAAAATCCACGGGAAAAACATTTCAATCTCAATTTCATTGAAACATGGACTATTTTAAAAAAAAAAAGTACGGCGCGTAAAGCGGGAAGATGATTAAAACTTATCATAAATTAAAGCAAGCCGCGTCCTCGTACACTAAGTATATATGTACATACATAGATGTTTTAATACTTATCCACCAGATTTCTGTCGATGAAAGTACACCTGTTTTTTAATAAAATAATGCTTTGTAGGAGCTCCATTATTCGAAACGGGGGTCATTTTTCTACCAGGCTAGGACGAATAAAAGAATCTTTACATATGCAACTATCTACCTAAATGTCCATGTAAATTTGTATATGCTTTTGATCATATATGTAACTATTTATGTACGAATATGTACATACATACACACACATGTACTTTGTATTAAAATTCGCTTCGTATTGTCTCCATCAAAGTGCACTTTCGAACTCTGCTTTTGCTTCCATTCTTAATTCGTTGCAATTTTAAACTTTATCGAATGGGAAATTGGCTGAGTGGGATTCTACTTTAACCTTCTGATTTCTTTGGTTGAAACAATTTTAACTTTTACCACAGCTGCAAACATATGTATGTACATTTGTTTATCTGTGAATTTTTCTCCCCCCATGGATGTTTACTTAAAAACTCTTTTTTGGCAGACAAAAACAAAAGGCCAGTTCACAAAAGCCGGCAAAGCAAAAATTCCTTTATATAAATGCGATGTGCGCTGCGTTTTCCCAATACGGAGTTTTGCGCGAATGGACAGTCAGTCAGGGCACGTTGCTGCTGCTGAAAATGTTCTGTTCAAATAAAATTGTATTGGAATTTTCCATTAAAAGTAACATATGTCCGCCGAGGATAAGCGAAGCCAAAACAATTGTAGCATACGTACATATCGACGGCTGAGTGGAAGATCGACGGCTATCTCGGCAGCCGGTTCGAAAACGCCCCACCTCAGAAAATTGTTCAAGAAATCGCGTGCTTTGAAAGGGGTTGAGTCGGCCATTGACCATTCTATCGCTTAAGTAGAATATAAATTAGGAAGATCTATCGAACGTTTTTTGTTTTCTCTATCATATATATAATATTACTTTTAAATTAATGAGTAGATAACTTCCTGCACATTCCCTTAGGTCATGGCGCTTAAGCTACGCTTTTAGAACTTTTCGTGCATTTTTCGGAAATACAAATGCAGCTCGTACATATGTACGTGTCTACACGTATTGTAAGCAATTTTGCCATTTTCATTTACCAAATGCCGCAAAACTGTACTCTTATTCTCTGCACACTTAACCAAACCTCACACATTTAAGAAGGATGCAGTTAGTCCAGAGCGTGAACAAGTTGTTGCAGTCAATTTCAGTTGACACTCAGTACTTCAAATTGCGGCAAACAAGTAGGGTTTTTGCATAGATAGCTCTTGCTGTTCTCAATGTTGACATTCCAAGCATGCAATGTCACTTATGGCACTTATGCAATAAAGCAAACAAATCTCATATGCAGACTTTACTTGTAATATGCAGAAGGAATGACATGAATGCATCTCATACCCCCACCACAATTCCCACAG